GCTGTGCATAGACAACCACTTGGATAGTAGACTAAGCCAGATGCAGATTTTCGTTGGGCCGTCCTAGTTACTCCAAAGAAGATGCCTCGAAGATACAGCCAGCTGCACTTTCTGTCGGCGGGTAGCTTAGCCTATTGTACTTTTTCGTCGTACAGAAACATCACCTGCACTAGCGTGCCGACACTAGGTACCCCTCTCTAACAACATCACCTACACTTGCTTGCCGACACTGCGTACCCTCCATTAACATGCTCCTAGTGAGCATACGAGGAAACCTTCCTGCTATTGGAGCGCTGCCACTTATGGGAAGAAAGATAACATATCTAGAGGTAAAGCAGATGAACCAAGTTAAGCCGTAGACGTTTAGATAAGAGGATCGTGCAGAAAGTTGGCGGAACGCAAAATGCAAATTAAAGAGGGTCGCGTGTCTTCTGTCGATTAGGGGGACAGGAAACGTTCAAGGGCTATCTAGAAATGGCGTTTGGCTTGTTGTTCACATTTCTTTGTTGCAATTTTGGTACTGGTGTTTTGGTTGTCTGCCTGTTGCGAAGCAGCTGCCTCCAAGCGGTCAGCGACTTCCTGGTGGCCGAGGGATCTAAATCTCCGAAGGGTTGATGGGCCGACGAGTTGAGAAAGGTTGCGAGAGACGGGAAGCTTTATGAGGAATAGAACTCTGCGTCTTTGGTCAGGGAGTTCATTGATTCGAAGCGTTGAACAAACTGGTCTGTCATTGAAGCAGGGAGTGCGGGAAGTGTTTGCGGCAATTTCCTGATGGGGGGGAGCCAGAGAAGGGTGGGGGCAGTTTCCTGTCTGCAGAAGAGGTCGGCCCCCGTCTCTCGCAGCAACTGAATCATGCAAGTTCTTTGCCACCGCCATGCAAATGCTGAGGCGCTCCTCCATACTCAGGTGGTGGCGGAGGCCTGCAAGGTACTTGTCAAGTGCCGTCGGTTGTGGGGTCCAGCAACGTTTGCGCAGAGGATCATTGCTTCCCGCTGGGAGAACAGACTTCAATTTGTGGGAAGCTGAAGGCGCATAGGCGTTTGATGCTGGGCTGTTCGAACGAATAGCAGCACTGACGCGCGGGGCTGTCGGAGACAAATTGGTCGGCCTGAACGCATGGGCAGAAACAAAGGGAAACACCTCGTGTGTAGCGTCAAGCAATTCACCCTTTTTCATGAGGGAAGGTGGGGAGAATCAATCTGTGAAATTCATCCAGTGATGAGCTTAGCGCTAATCGCATCAAATGAAAGAGATATCAAGTCCTGCACGAAGAGCTACAGGTGTCACCGACGGCGACACCAAATCTCTTTAGGGTTCAAATCACGGCAACGAAGGAAAAGCAATACTTACGACTGGACATCATTGGCAACCAAAACCTCATCGTTGATTCCATTTATTTCATTGATTTCAGGGAGAAGCGCGCCAAACTCGTCTGACTCACACCTGTCTGCCGTCTGAGGGCTCGTCTGGTTATATGAGACTGGGTTTAAAAAGAAAACAAGAAGTTTGGAGTGGCGAGGCCACCGCTTGATTCTGTAGCTCCTCATTTTGAATTGTACAGATTTCTGCCGTATCGAAAAAGAGGCCGCGAGAAATCGTTGCTCACAAAAGAGAACAGACACGCAAGCCGAAACGCCAAGTCACGAAATAGACAAAGCCGAAACAATTGTAATTTAGTTTAGATGCAATCGACTGTTTTAATTGGAAAGTTCATTCATATTGAACTGAACACTCGTGCTGTCAAGCAGGTCCGCCGAAAGGAGGACCTTCGAAGCCACAGGTCACTTGCCCGCCGAGCGCGGCGCTTGCCAGACCTCGCTGTCTCCGTCCCTCCTCTTCCTGTCTCCTCATATTGTTCATTCTTTAAGACTGCTGCGACGCTTTAAGAGTAATTCACTACGGTTTTGCACACACTGATTAGAAGGGTTTTTTTTCAATGTAGTACCATGCGACCGCAGGACACGGCACAAGGAGCCATCGCTACGCACTCCAACTTCCAGAAAGGCCTGTCTCTACAACAATAACTAGCCAGTCAAATATTGTTTATATGGTCTCCCAGCCTTTATTTCACTACTCCACATGCTCTCCCTACTAGGAAACAAAACGATCTATTTGCACCAGTGGTCAGGATTGATAGTTCGACGATAGTGATTTTGCTCTCTTCGAGAAGTCCACGCAACCGGGTCATTAGGAGGACACTTCAACTGCTCGTGAGTCCACGTACCTCCAACAATGAGATGGCGCAGCACATTGCTGGCATTCTAAAGCCATTAGTATAATATCTAGTGCCAACGCTGCAGCAACGAAAAAACTGAGAGAAAAGGTGGACCAAGGTTTGCGTGGGTGGCTATCAGTTACACATTAGGGATCTAAAGCCCCATCAAATGAAGTCGCTTCCACTACTATACTTGGCTCTCCCCCAAACCGCCTAACCGTGTGTCTTTCTAGTCAGAAGAACGCACCACCCCTCTCCACTTGCATCTACGTACCAGTTAGACGCACATACAGTTAAGTGCAGTACCTGCTGTGCCAGTTATTGTTAAAGACAAAGCAGACAATAAAACGAATTGAATGACAATTTTCGCTTCATTAATCCTGAAGGGCAACATAATGTAGGCCTGTTGTTCGCTGGCATCCGAAAAGCATCTCGTGTGCATAGACAACCACTTGGATAGTAGACTAAGCCAGATGCAGATTTTCGTTGGGCCGTCCTAGTTACTCCAAAGAAGATGCCTCGAAGATACAGCCAGCTGCACTTTCTGTCGGCGGGTAGCTTAGCCTATTGTACTTTTTCGTCGTACAGAAACATCACCTGCACTAGCGTGCCGACACTAGGTACCCCTCTCTAACAACATCACCTACACTTGCTTGCCGACACTGCGTACCCTCCATTAACATGCTCCTAGTGAGCATACGAGGAAACCTTCCTGCTATTGGAGCGCTGCCACTTATGGGAAGAAAGATAACATATCTAGAGGTAAAGCAGATGAACCAAGTTAAGCTATAGCATGAACGGTAAACGCAGTAACGCTTTTTCCTGACGTTCTGCAGCCTTGGACCAATCGAAGGCAAGTCAGCGGCACAGAGGAACGCTTTTACGCCATCGGGGTCCATACCCGTTCTCCCTAACGAGACATGCTAGACAGAGATGCCGGTTGTATGCATGGCGCAGCAAATTGGGCCCGCTTCAGTCTTCGTAAAGCGTTCCGCAATACACGCGCTGCGGCGACATAATCCGGCATCCCCTCGGGCCTAATACAGACAATTCTTTGCTGCAGATGAGGGGAGATGACACGCTAGAGGACTCCTTATATATGCATGTGTTGACAGTTGTTGCTGCTGCTACTCCTGCTGCGAGCCTTCTCGATCTCGTCTTGGTGCACCGACAGTCTCGATTTCTGCATAGACTGATGCGTACCCTCGGGTGGCGCTTGCTTTCTTCTCTTCTCTGCTTGTTTTCTCTTTAAGCAACTCTGCTTCCTGCTGCAACTTCAGGGCTTTCATTTCAGCACCGGAGGGGACAGTGGCATAGCGATCCAAAAATCGTCTATTAAGGTCGAGGAAATGAGGGCCCCAAGTGAAGCTGCTCAGGACCAACTCCGCATGGCGCCGGTACCCTGCAATACATGCACAGACGCTGGCAAACATGGCGCGAATGCAACTTGGAGCTGTCCCAATACTCTAACAGACCAGATAGACAGGATCACGTCTCCATTTACGGGGAGACAGATTGGCAGGTGGCAATAATGAATATGAAGAGTGGATATGAAGAGGAGTAACTCTGAGAGATATTTGATGGCAGTAATGAAGAGGCGCCACATGATACCAATACATGATGGCCCGCATAACAGGGGGGCAAGTTGGCAGAAAATATACACAGAAGGATAGCACATAATACGGACGCGGACGGCTACAAGGTGGTAAACTGGGGGACAAGAAGCAACGAAGGGCATATGGATTGCAGAGGAAAGGACAGAAAAAAGGGGTAGATAACCATCGGGAAAATAAGAGAAACACTTGGATGGACAGAGCATGCAGAAAATGACAGCGATACATACACGGAAAACGACTGGCCTACACGTATAAACACAAACTGAGCAAGAAAGCACACTAACAGAGATGTAGCAGACAAACCTGCAATATAGAGGGCACCCGCGAGAGCCTCCGCGCAGTTTAAGATGTTGGGGGCACCATAGTGGGTCGGGTTACCGCAGAGAAGCAGTGGGAGGACCCGCTCATTTTCTACGTACCAGCAGCACCACAGCACTCCACACACAAAACACCGGCCCCTTAAATTATGCTCCCTATATACCTATTCTTGAATGAAAAGGCATCAACAAGCGGGGCCGAGGGTTGCTAGTTGCCCCTTGCCAGCCGACCCCCTACCTAGACGCTACCATTGGCCTCTTTAAATTTACACTTCGCACCGACAGGAACATTAGACCACCTCATACTAAGAAACTTGTGGTCTAATGTAAGCAAGCAACAGCCTTCATCTGTTTGCTGCCTATATGGCTGTACTTTGAGTATGACTAACTCTTGTTAATCTCAAGCCGGTGAGACCGCCTCCCCTCGAGCACCCGGTTCCAGCTGCAGTCCACTACGGCGAGGCCGTGTTGCCGTATGAGGGGCCCGTCTGCTGCGCTGAAAACCTGGGTCTTATCCGTGAAGTAAGGGGATAACAAAATACCCCGAAAATGACCTCCCTTTACGCGCACGCGCACGAGACTGCTTTTGTTCCTTCGCGACCCTGGTACTGCTGTTTCTGTTCCCGTCACTGTTGTCAAGGCAGCCGGATATTCTTGATACGCTTCACTCCCCGTTTCTGTATCGGATTCACCTTCTTCTTTTTTGCTAGCGCTGCTGCAATTGCTGCTGGCGCTGCTGCTTCGGCTGCTGCTGCCGGTGCGGCGGCGCCCTCCTGGCGCCTGTGCATATTCTACTTGACCTGACGAAGTTATCTTGTTCATCTTGTGGTGTCGAAGAAGCCGCCTGCCGCTGCAGCGCTGAGAGTCACACTCGCCAAAGTCAAACATGAAGAGCGACACCTCATCTGGGCTTTCCTTTGGCTTCCCAGCAACACAATTTCCTGTTTCACCTGTCCCCCTCCCTGCTGTTGTTGCTCCTCCGCCTTCCGCTACTCCTACAGAGGCCTTGGCATCTGAAGAACAAGTTGTATCTGCTTGAGGACGGTGTTCGATGCCGGCTGTTTCGTTCCCTACAGTGCTAGCATGGGTTGCTGTAGCAGCTTCTCCGTTTGGTGCCCCTGTTGATTGTGATGGCTCCGTAGACGAATCCGTTGGATTGTTCGTCAAAGTAACTCGCTTCATCAGTGCATGGATGCTACACTGCTTACGCCTCTCTGGATCTCCTCCCTTCTTCTTCCTAGAAGCTCTTGCTGCTGTTGCGTCTGCCATTGTCGCTTTGGGTGCACCTCCAGCCACGGAGCTCCAGGCTGGGTGGTCCGAAACCTTTGAATCCGTCTATATTTCGTTCTTAGCAGAAGGCGGGTCGACTGTTGCAGATGGAGGTGACCAGTGCCCCGTGATTTTCTTCGGGCTGTGGGAAGAAAGCGCCATACATACAATGACGCCATAGACTTCCCCTGCATGCGGGGGGCTTTTAAAAACCCAAAGTAAATAAAAAGAAAAATACACAAAAGTTCATAATTCCTCCACAGAGACACAAGAAGGACTCTGAACTCTTTAAGGTATCTACAGGCTACCCAGCGGGTCCCGAAGTTCTTCCTTTGCTCGGGTTATCCTTGGTGTGGCATGAGCGCATTAAGGTGTACACACCAGCCGATCTATTCTTAGCAAATTAGACTTATTATCTTTAACGAGGAATTCAAGTTTCAGAAGGACAAGGGAGTTCACCGGCAACACGGACCACACACGTGGGTGGGTGCCTGGAGACGATGTCCGACGTAGCAGAAGAGCTGCAGCACTACAGGCTTGTTGTAGATGTTTACAACGATTTTTTCCTTTAAAAGGAAGAAAATTACTAAATTAGAAGTCAATAATACAAATTTATTCGTTGAATTCCTTCAGATTTCTTAGCTACGTAATACCGATGAACAGCAGGGAGTAGTAGTTGGTCGTCGCCTCTGTTTATCTACTCACCCTCATAAACCATTCATACATATACTACTGCATAAAGATAAAGGTCCTTTTCTCTATTTAATCTATTTTATTTATTATAAATTCTTTAATTCTGTGCATAGTGTATACTGCAACAGCATCTGTAACTGCTGTAGATTTTTTTTTCTTTTTTTTCTTGTAGCGCCTCCTTATGGTTCTTGAATCCCCGGTGCCTACAGTGCATTGAATGTCTTAAGGTAGCACATAAATTCATACTTACTAGCATTCTGCATGCGGCTGTAGACGGCTAATGGGGTGTACAGGCAACTAGGGAATTCCTCCTTTATCCATCAAGGTATATTATTATTGCTATTCATCCTCCAGTAAGTAATTGGGGTAAAGATACAACACAATTGTTCTTCTCTTTTTCTTCGTCAATAAATGTATGATATACATAAAGGAGGAGAATATTATTTATTAAATAATAAAGAATATATTTGCTGCTGCTGCTGCGCTGCTGCTGCAGCAGATGAGCTGCCCTACTATATCAACATTAACACCATAAACAGCAGTAAACTACTGCAGCAAATGCAGCAAGAAAAGATAAAAGGGGGCCCCTAGGGCCCCCTTGATGGTTATGTTGCTGTACCCTTCTCTATTTGCATGCGTTTGCCATAAAAAATTTGTATAAGTCAAGAGAAATATATAAATAAAATAAATAATATTTTTATTTTATTATTAATTAATTAATTAATTAATTAATAATATAAATATTATATATAAATATAATAAATAAATAAATAAATAAATAATTATTTATATTTATTTACCCTATACTATTAGGGGACCTTAACTGCGATAGATAAGAAAGGGCACTATGAATAGCTGTTAGATAAAAGGCTTCCTTATCTAGTCTTGCTTCTCTTGTCTGCAGCAGGAGGAGACACACACAATATAAATACTTTTCTTGCATAGAGGAAGGGGACAAAGTCTCCTGCACGCATGCATGCATGCATGCATGCACTGCAGAATTTACCTGCTGCAGCAGCACCACAGACATGTGCAAGTAGCTAGCAACAAATGCTGCTGCTCCCCCCTCTGCTAGTGCAGAGACGAGCAGCGCAACAAGATCTTCGCAGCAGACCTGAGGGTGCAGAGACACACAGAGAGCAGCAGCAGCAGCAGCAGCAGCAGCAGCATCAGCAATATCCTCTTGTACCTCGTACACCCGTAGTAGCAGTGCCTGCCTGTGCTTTTGCGGCTGCTGCTACTGCTACTGCTGCTGCTGCTGCTGCTTCTCCTGTTTGTATACCTCTACAGCCTCTCTTCTATTCAGGTCTATAAAGCCCCGCGAAGACGCAGCAGCAGCAACAGCAGCACTGCATGCACGGTGTATAGCATCAACAGCTAGGCATAGCTGCTGCAGCTTCTCATGGGGCAGCAGCATAGAAGGCACCTAAGAAGAAAAAGAACGAATAAACAATAATATAATTATATTTATATAAATATAATTATATCTTAGTACCATCTAACTAAAGGTGTTAATAAAAACAGGAAAAGAGGGATATATATATATA